CAATTCCTATTGAAAGAACTTCAAGTTCCATTTGCTATTCCTAAAGTATATTGTGATAATCTGAGTATTGTTCAGCTTGCTCACAATCCTGAAGCAACGTGGAGTCTTTCACATCCCTGCTCTTCATCAACTAGCAGACATACTAATCAAGCCTCTATTTGCATCCAGATTTCTTGAATTAAAGACCAAGCTTAGTGTGATTGATTTTATTTATCAATCACCCTAACTTTGAGGGGGGCTGTTATAGATTATTAGATAGACTGTTATAAGTTGGTTTTGTTGAGTTAGTTAAGTCGGTTGAGCCTTGTATGACCTAATTGGTCTATACATACTGCGTACTCTCTTTCACATGAATAAGATCAGTTTACTATTCTTCTCAAATATTCTCTCTGTACACTTTCTATTATGTGGCATGTTGGGCCATTTGGACCACTTTTGCATAATCGTGTTTACTAATGGTACTTGGTTTGGTGAAAAGCTCTATGTGAGTCGACTTAGGGCGGATAAGTGGATAACCATCGTGGCCACCGTGCGGCGAGAAGGGGCTTGTTTGGGTTAAGGAGGCAGGGTTGGGTTGTAGCGATTTCAGGATCAACACTCCCGTTAGGGTTATGAAAAGATGACGGGTGGACAATGGGCAGCTCATTAACAGGAAGGACGACAAGGGGGAAACGATTTGTTAGTGGGCACTGATGGGATGATTCAGAAAAGGGTGTTTCGTGTGCCATGGGACACTTTGGCTTGGGGGTGGGGGGTGATATGTGATGGCGGTGGCTCGTGATGGTCTAACTGGCGGCAGCGAGAGTAGGGGTGGCCAAGATCCAGGGGTATATTTGTCCAATCACTTATAATAATTCCTACTTAGAGTTTTTTTAAACTTTACTCACATTTTGGTAGTTTAGCTTTTATTTATTCCTATTTACGGAATTGTCCCTATAAGTTTCTCTTTAAAATGGTACACATTTTACTAAAATTTGTGCATTTTATTAGCATTTTGATCGATAATAATAAAGAAAACTGTAAGCTTTTAATGCTTACTAATACTTTTGTATCATGTACCTATGGACACTAGAAAAAATTGCCTTTCTAAGTCAATCAAGAATATTGTTACTAATTTGAAGATTAGGCACAATTCAACTCTCTTACCCGACTTTTGTCACATTGGAGAATTCCAAATGTCTTTGCCCTAGGGCTGAACGCGGATTTGGTCTTTCTACTCCATATTGAAGAATTGTTCTGATTCGTAATAGAATCAACAGAACAAAAAAATGATTGTAAGGTTATTCCAGGTGAGAGTTGTCACTCAGCATAGGATGTTTGTGTTTGACTTTCGAGGTAAGAACCATAGAAGATAAGTTAAACAACAAGTGGAACCAAAGATAAAGTGGTGGAGGCTTGAGGGAGATCTTCAACAAAGCATTACAAACAAAATGGTCGGTGAAGATGTATGGCGTATTGATAATGAAACACATGTGGATGATGTGTGATTATCAATGGAGTTGACCATTAACAAAGTGGCAAAGGAGGTACTTGGAGAATCTAAAGGATGTCTGCCATCTAAAAAGGACACGTCTTGGTGGAATGATGAGGTGAAACAAGCCATAAAGAACAACAGAGATTGCTACAAAAAGTTGGGGATAAGTTGGAGTGATGAGAACATAGAAGCATACAAGGAGGCTAAAAGACAATCAAAGAAAGCCGTAAGGGAAGCACAAGGGAAAGTGAACAAGGAGTTGTATGAAAAGTTGGACTCTACGGAAGAAGAACTAGATATTTATAGACGTGCTTGTCTTCGTGATCGCAAGACTCAAGATATTGCAAAAGTTAAATGTGTGAAGGATGTCGATCAGAGGATATTAATGGACGACGTAGAGATAAAAGAGAAGTGGAGGTCATACTTTGATACACTATTCAACGGGAACAAAACGCAAGATATCAGTGATTTGTCCATACAACGGAAGTTAAAGAAGCTCTGATGAAGATGGGACGGAAGAAAGCAGTGGGTCCAGATGGCATACCGATCGAGGCTTGGAGAAGTTTGGGAGAGAGAGGCATCGAGTGGTTAACAAGTTTCTTCAACATGATTTGGAGAAACAACAAGATACCAACGAGTTGGAGGAAAAGTACCCTTATCCCCTTATTTAAGAATAAAGGTGATGTACAAGAATGTGCCAACTATCGAGGGATTAAGCTTATGAGTCACACCATGAAACTTTGGGAGCGAGTGATTGAGCAAAGACTTCGAAGAACTGTGAAGATTTCAGAGAATCAATTCGGTTTTATGCCTGGTCGTTCAACAACTGAGGCCATTCACCTTCTTCGGCAACTTATGGAGAAGTATAGAGATGCTCATAAGGATCTGCATTTGGTGTTCATTGACTTAGAAAAGACATATGATAGGGTACCTCGGGAAGTTCTTTGGTGGGCTTTAACTAGGAAAGGCAAATCACGCAAGTATATCAGCATCATCATGGATATGTATGAGGATTGTACTACAAGTGTCCGTACTAGTGTAGGGAGGACTGAAGAGTTCCCTATTACTATCGGAGTGCACTAAGGATCGGCTCTGAGCCCTTTCTTATTTGCCATAGTCATGGATGAACTTACGAAGTCAATTCAAGATGATATACCGTGGTGCGTGATGTTTGCCGACGATCTTGTATTGATTGATGAGACGCAATCAGGTCTTAAATCAAAGTTGGAAGTATGGCGACAAACATTGGAGAATAAGGCTTTCAAACTAAGTCGGAGCAAGACAGAGTACATGGAGGGTAAGTTTGGTGGAGGTAGAAGCAGTGGTAATAGAGGAATTACTCTGGATGGTAAGGAGATACCAGTCAGCGATATGTTCCGTTACTTGGGCTCCATAATTCAGAAGGACGGTGAGTTAGATGGAGATGTATCCCATAGAATCAGAATAGGGTGGATGAAGTGGAAGAGTGTGTCAGGATTTCTATGCGATCGAGGTATGCCATCTAGACTGAAGGGTAAATTTTATAGGACAACAATTAGGTCTGCATTACTGTATGGCGTAGAGTGTTGAGCGGTGAAACAATGTCACATTCAAAAGATGAGTGTGGCAGAGATGTGTGGGCATACTAGGAAGGACCGCGTGAGGAATGAGACAATCAGACAAAGAGTGGAAGTAGCACTTATTGAAGACAAGATGTGGGAGTCGCGCTTACGGTGGTTTGGTCATGTGCGTAGAAGACCGAGTGATGCACCTGTCAGACGAGTTGAGATGTGTGGAGAAGAGGTAGGGAAGAGAGGGAGAGGAAGATCCAAACAGACGTGGGTTAGGGGAGTTCGAAGTGATATGTTTCTTCTGGGGTTGGATGAGGGCATGACTTTGGAAAGAGATAAGTGGAGGGTGGGTATTCATGTGAAGGAGTGATCTCGTATCATCTTCTCCCCTCATCTTTTTTCCTTGTTTTTTATCCTTACATATAAGCATTATTTGTATCTTTTTTATTTTATCTTTTTTATGTATATTCATCTCTTTTTATATTATCTTTTTATAATAGCTTATCTTTTTTATCTTTATTTTCTTTCTTTTCCTTTTGGTGGTGATATCATGTATCGATTCATGTTAGCCGACCCCAATATCATTTGGGACTAAGGCTTGGATGTTGTTGTTTTATTGAACCGTAGCATTTTTTAAATATGGTATACTATTTTTCAGTGAGGATAATTTAATTGTTCTAGAACCCTCCTCTAACAACCCTATAATTGTGTTAGAACCATACCTAATTGTCCCAAAGAATCACTTATATCAATGTTACACTTATGAGTTACATATGCATAAAGAGAGTGCAGTTCATATCAAGCCGCCTGACAAGACCCGCCGTCCGACCAAGGCCATTTAAAGTCTTTCCTGTTAGAATTTTTTGTTGATTTTTTTAGCAGGTTTTTCATCAAGTATAGTTTATGTCCATTAAATTTCAACTAAAAATTAAATCGAGAAATCAGACAATTGTGGAATTGAAAAACATTGCGTTGTTTACACACACATAAATGTGTAATTTTGAAAAAACAAAAAGAAAAGCATAATCGTTGAACAATATGAAGTTGAGTTTTTTTATAAAAGTCAAAGAATATGATAGATTTATGAATTTGATGATAGTTTGGGATAAAGTAAGCTGATAATCATGTCTTATTTTTGAATTATCCATCCCGAATCGTACCAAAAGTTCGTACAGAATGGGACATGTTTTTAGGGGTGGTACTGATTCCTTAGCTTTTAAAAGGACGTGGTTTGGGGTGGCAGGACAGGTTATAAATGACCATCCAGTACCTACCAAATCATAATCTTAATGGAAATAGAGTTTTTATAAATAGGGTTACGAACAGCTTTGGAATAAATGAATAAAATAGTGCACAATATTTGTGAATTGTCTTGTATGTTTTGAAACCTAAAAAGGCATAAAGATACACTTTATTACGTTTATTTTGAAACCTTGAAATGATGGGTATTACTGTCCTGGGGAGTGTAAATTACATTTATGGAACTGCTACATGATAATAGGTGTGATGTTTATAGCTTTGGCGTTATTCTCTGGGAGCTTGCGACAATGAGATTACCATGGAGTGGGATGAACCCTATGCAAGTTGTAGGTGCGGTTGGTTTCCAAAATCGGCGTCTTGAAATCCCCAAAGAACTTGACCCCCATGTGGCTAGGATAATATGGGAATGTTGGCAAATGTGAGTAATATGTACCTATCCTATTTATCTATCTACCAGTTCACTTGGTCTATAATGCACTGACCCAGGTACTAGAATGCCCCTGTTACCTCTGTCCTCAATCCCTCTCCATTGAGTAACTGGGATTTTTTTGTAGATGTACCGGAAAAAACAACCATACTGTTTTACATTCACATAGGTAATTAGAGCATACTGTTTATAAATCGTTTTTAAAATACAGGGATCCAAATTTACGGCCATCATTTGCAGAATTAAGTGTGGCATTAAGACCGTTGCAGCACCTTGTCCTTCCTTCTTCACATGTGGACCAGCCAAGTTTGACCCAAGAAATATCTGTAAATTCTTCGCCGTGATCACATTGGTGGCAGCCACAGCACTGTAAATTAATAACATCATTGGTACATAATTTTGGCTACGAATGGATTTATTAAAAAAATCACATATTTAAATTATTAAATTTTACAAAAAATAGTTAAAAAATTTTATAGCCAATAATTGGTTTTAGTCTATGTAGAATTACATATAAAAGTATGTGTTTGTAGCTAATAGAAGCAAGGAGTGAGTGATATGAAGGGATGATGGGGGATAATTAGGTATTAATTGATTATTAGCAGCTAGCTCTATCTATCTTTCCACCCAAAAGAAACTTCTGTTTTTGTGGTCAGTTAGCTAAAGCATATGATTTGTGGTCCGCGCACTTGTGGTCCGCACCTGGCAGACTGTTTTATCATGGCTTACTTCACCAGGCTATTTTGCATTTTCGGCTTTCTATGTAAATATATATTGACAAAAAATGTTCTTGTTACTGAACTCTGCTCTTTGGGGGGTTGAAGTAGGCATGCCTTTTTTTTTCAAAAGTTGGGCCCGGAACCGGTCAGGGTTGATAACTTGATACCAGTTTCGGGCCAAAATGGGCCCGGCCTGGTCTAACGTATAATATTTTTTTTCTTTCTAACTAACCCCCGACCCCCCACCCGACCCCTCAAACCTCCCCAAAACACCCAGCCCTACACCCAAGGAAAAGAAAAAAAAGTAACCGGGCCCAGCCCAGACCGCTTGGGCCGGTTCAAGAAAAATATGGCCCAAGCTCAGCCCACCAGGCCCGCCCAACCTGGGCTAAAGCCCGGTCTGGGCCCACACAGTAGCGGGCCAGTTCGGTGCGGTCCACCTCTAGGAGGCTAGGATGAAGGAAGAGAAAGTACACCTTTCAAATGTAAAGTTGTCATATAGCAGATGATAAAATGTAGATAGACTCAAAGCAACTGCAAAAACAAATATAAAAATCCACAGGGACTGTATAGCCATTAGCCATGATACACTTGTGCAACCGTCCATTGTATTCAAGTCTTTAACGGCATCCCACCTTTTTGTTCCTTGCAACACCGAGGTTTTTAATCCTTCCCACAACACCTGCATATGCCATCAGCTACTATCATTGTTCTAAGTTCTAACGCTAGGGAAGTTTCTAAACTAAATAAAAAAGTATAATTAAACGAGGCCAATTAGTTATTTTCTAGTAAGCTTAACCTGACTGGGTTTTACACTTTTACTACCGGCTCTGGATCAGTAATTGGACACAGACGAGGTAAAGGTCATGAACTTCCCTACTTCCAGAGGATCACCTATCAAAGTCTTCAAGTTTTGAGCTGGAATAACTAATTCCTCCCGCTATCTATGTCAGCCTAGTTGTACTTATGTTGTCATCACTCTAGTTAGGAGATGGCTATAAGGGCAGCCAACCAAGTAAATGACGAACCTATTCTTTAGGTGAAAGATTTTAGTTTCATGTATATGCAGCATCCATGGGACCAGGACCGCTTGGTCCCGTCCCCAAAACCCTTACCCGAGCTTGAGACTGACAAATACCCGGTCGGGTAACCAGTCCAAGCCCGGAACCCGAAAACAAGACCCGGTTCGGTCCCGCACAGTGGCGGACCTGGTTCCGGTCCCGAAAAGCATCATGTCGAATTTGGGTTCCTTCGATTTCAATGAATTATTTGTCAGATAGACTGGACATGACGAACCCTAAATTGTACTCAAGTACATATTGAGCAATAAATCTGAAGAAGTTTCTAAAGTTTGTTTTTATCTTCATTTCTTTTTCATCGGATATACATATATTATGAAAGTGAAAGAACCTTATGTACAAAGAAGGCTTTCAATTTCCTAACAAATCCGTTTTGGTTAAGAGACTCAAATGGGCAAAAATCTTGTAAATGCTCCTTGAAACCACCCCCTCTGATTAAGAGACTCAAATGGGCAAAAAAGAAAAATTAAATACCTAACTACATACTACCTTCATATATTTGCTTATTCTACGGTTTTGAGATCCATTTCACTAGGCTTGTGGTTAGAAATATCGCAAATCCCTGACATTTTCTATTCATCAGAATTCATACAGTACAATGACCTCTTATTGCACGCGTACTCTTCATCTTCCAAGTGTCTATATAACTCCAACAATGTAGAATAAATAATGTCACATTGTGGATGCATCTGATCAGCGACTACAAAGCTGTGAACTTTCATTTCAATTTCCATCCAACTTATCCCGGTCTCTTTTGCTTGCCTAGTTTCTTTCATTTTTTTGACAATTGTTGCTCTTTCTTTCCATTGCCCTTTGGAAGAATGTATATTAGCCAAAAGAACATATGGAACGGGGGTACCATCCGGTGAAGCTAAAAGCCACTTTTGTGTTGCATGCTTTCCGATATCAGTATTTCCATGAAAACTACAAGCACCAAGTAGTGTCTGCCAAAGTAGTACATCAGGCTTTATTGGCAGCCTCTCAATGAAGCACTTTGCTTCATTTAAGAGTCCTGATCTTCCAAGCATATCAACCACAGATGCATAGTGTTCCATCCTAGGAATCATTCCATAGACGGTCTGCATGGATGCGAAAACTTCCATTCCTTTCTCCACTAAACCCACATGACTACAAGCGTGAAGCAATGAAAGAAAGGTAACATCGGTAGGCTCAACAACAGCCGATATCATTTCTTCATACAACTCAAGTGCTCTAAAACCGTTACCATGCCGAGCAAAAGCTGCAATCAAAGAGTTCCATGAAACTGGATTCCTAAAAGGCAACTGGTCAAAAACTTTGACAGATTCTTGCAATTCACCACACTTGGAGTACATGTTTATTAGCCCATTTCCAAGGAAGGGATTGTGAGAGAACCCTTTCTTAACAATTAGAGAGTGAACTTGTTTTCCAAGACCTAAAATCGTATCACTACAAAAAACCCCAAGAATGGATGAAAGCATATTTGAGTCAATGTCAATTCCTGATTTCATTATTTTGATGAAAATCTGCAAAGCCTCCTCTTCAAATCCATTTTGGGAAAAAGCTACAAGGATGACAGTCAAAGAGACCGTGTCAAGCACCACGGCAGACTCAAAAATTCGCCAAACTCCCTCTACACTTCCACACTTCGAATACATATTCATAAGTGCACTCTCTATTGACAAATTTGATTGAAATCCCAATTTCCAAACAATTGCATGAATCTGACAACCTTTCCTGAGTGCTCGGATGCCACTACATGCTAATAATGCACTCAAATATGTTAAATGGTTAGGAACATCAGAACCCTTCCGAAATTCATCAAAAAGTTTCAAGCTTTCATCATAAAACTCATTCCTTGCAAGCCCCGATATAATAGACGTCCAAGTAATAACATTCCTATCAATCATCTCATTAAAAACTTGCCTTCCCGAGTCAAAACACTCGCATCTAAAATATGAAGTAACCAAAACATTTCCCACAGAAATCACCCGCTCATAACCTCTAAAAAACACCAATCCATGGACCATCTTGTTGACCAGAAGAAATTGAGGCCCGTCACAAGCTGATAAAATGGTAGTCAAACTAGCATGATCAATCCAATCATCTCCCATACTAACCATATCTTTAAAATACTGAAGTCCTATATTGAAATACCCATTTCTTATGAAACCTGAAATTATTGAGTTCCATGTGACGATGTCTCTTGCAAGCATAGTCTTGAACACCTTAACTGCATCTAGCAATTCACCGCACCTTACATACATCGAAATGAGAGAGTTCATAACTAAAATGGTAGCTTGACTCTCCAAACCAAAGAATAGGGGTTTTTTAATAGTAAATGCGTGAATGCTATTTCCCATAAGAAGATTGCCCTCTCTCCCGCTATAGAAGAGGTAAAGGCTTATGGTCACTGCACTGTCCTGATATGGCTTAGCTTTTGCTTGGGGAGTGAAAGAAAGAAAATTCTCGGAGATTGCTCTGATAGGAATGACGAGCAGAAAAATAAAACTTCAACCATTATTAAAACTTCAAATATGAATATTATTACTATAATTATATGTTTTCTTTCAAGTATTACTTTTAGGAAACTGTAGAGTTAAAAGTAGAGAATAAGTATTGCACTTGAATAATTGAGCAAACAAAAGGCACGTTAAATATCATTGTTCATATCATCATATAACTTTCTGAAACCATTTCATGGTCTGAAGTGAATTGGCTTGGTCCAATCTAGTTTTGTACAGTTTGATCTGATCTAGTTTGATCTGATCCAATTTGGTCTGATTTAATGTGGCCTATTTTGATCTGGTCCTCACAAATCAAATCTTGACATGTTCGGTCTCATGTAAGCATGTTTATTGCAAAGTGAATTTATTATTAGAAATATATTTGCATTGGTAACTTTCTTACCATACCTGCCCTCAATCTTTGTCTCATCTTTTCTTCATCGCATGTCTCACTACCGGTAAATTTGTCTAATACCACATTTGGAAATATGTATGTCATTCAAACCCGTTCATACTTTACTAATTCAATGTTATCTACATACTTTCACTTTTCTTTATATGTGTGCGCTACTTTCTTATGCCCAAAAGACAGGACATAAATTAAGTCACATAGTTTTCAGCTTAAATGTGTTTTAAGCTTTGCAAAGATAGTGTATTGTAAATTGTAATCTGTGTTACTTTTCTCTTTAATCTCTCTACCAAATTACTTTATTTTCTTTGTGTAATTTAATGTTATTTTTCTTTTTTCTCTCATTGACATACAAAACCTATATTTGACAAGGAAACAAACACGACTAAAACGTTTTTTTTTTTAATTTCAGCCCAAAAATACTTCAAAAACTTAATTTCCAGGTAGTTGTTGAAATCTATAATAAAAACGTGAATGAATAAGTTTTCTTAGTTTCAACTCCACTACTAGTCTCGACACAGTTATAAAAACTGATGTGTAGTTATGCAAGTGTCAATATTTTTTTAAGCTCTATTGTACTGTAAGTCTGTAACAATTGAATTTAAATATGATAAAACTTGTTGGACAAAATCAAAGATTAAAAGAGAGCCGTGACCACAAAAATAGTATGAAAACCTTAAAATGAGACAGAAATTGTATATTGCATGGATGAAATAAATTGTAGAGATTGTCATAAAAAGTTTTATATATGCAGTGGTTGAAAGCATATTTAAGCCTTCTTTAAAAAAGCCAATCTTTTTAGATTTAAACCTTTGTGTGTATTACTATTATTCAAATATTTTTTATTTCTGTTACCATTCTTAAGCATTAATTTAAAAGATAAATGAATACATGGTTTCAATAACTACAATTTGAATAATATTTTCCACTATCATTGATGTCATATGCATGACAAAAAGTTACTAGACCAGATTGAATCAAACTATACCACTTCAACAAAGTTCAATCGAAAAGCAAAGGTACTAAGTCAACCTAACCACACGAAAAGAGATCGTTTTCCGAAAGTGATGAATAAGTTATTGGAGGGATGAAGAGAGAAAGTCCTAGGCGAAGGAAATATACAAAGAAAACATAGATGAAAATTCAAAGTAAAAAAGTATGGGTAGAAATAAAAGATAAGCTAAAATTTGATGTGTTTATATTATATATTTGTTGATTACTCATTTTATTTATTTATTCTATTACACGTAGTATAATATACTTAATAGCAAATCCAAATAATGTATCAGTATAGAGACAATCATATTTCACTTCACTTTGCATTTTCTAAGGTAAAACTAAACCTAGTAAGATAAACATTCTATAGCATTTTATTTCCTTTTACTGGTATTTTTCGGTCTCCAAACGCACCTTAAAGGGAAAAAAGGAAACTAAAAAATTACCGCTTATATCTCTTATTTGAACCACAGGGGCAGGGTGCATTCCTACTAATTTGTCCACTCTTTGCCAAGTTTGAGCGCGCAAGATCCATAGGAGTTGATCCCATCAGCTGTTGAATCTGTTAAACTTCAACAATCCATCATTAAATCATCATAGAATAACCTTGCATGAGAGCAAACCGAGTAGTAGTGGGAAGCAATGAGTTAGGAGGGTCACAAATTACTCTTGAAAGTAGTTAGTTGATGGACATTATAACTGCCTATTATTCCCTTTCCCAAGCCTAACAATCATATCCAGAACATTTTTTGAAGAGAACATTTTCAAAAATTACTCTTGAAAGTAGTTAGTTGAAGGGCATTATAATTGCCCATCATTTGAAATGGAGCCAAAGACTCACTATTTTTTGGCTTGGGAATATGATGGTATAAAGCATAATGACTCACTAAACTGTCTGCACTTCTTTCTTATGAAGCAACAATCAGTCCATGCAATTTTCGACGTGATTTTCACTATGGGTCATCCGGAAACAGTCTATGTGTGCTTTAGTCCAGGGTAAGGCTGCGTACATCCGACCCCCCTTACCCCACCGTAGGTGGGAGCCTTTGCAGCCACTGCGGTAATGATGACGATGAATAATTTCACTCTAATATCTTCATATAAATATAATCTGAGTAGTAATGTTATTACACAAGTCTGAAAGGAAATTAAGCAATGCCAACATTGATTTTGGTCATTAGATCACTTGCATGTTCATATTTTTTTGCTCCTCAGTCGGTACCATCAACTATGATTTTCAATTGTTTGATCTTTAATTTGTTCAAAGATAGAAGATGGGAACTCGTTTTCTTTCCTTTAGAATGTCTACCTCCGTCTCATATTGGTTGTCATGCTTTAATTTGACACAATTATTAATAAAGTGGTTGAAAAGTAAAAGTTGTGGTTGAAATTTGATTAAAATAAAGCGAAATGATAAGGACCACATATTATTTTCCAAAAAAGAAGCAAGACATTCATTTTGAGACAATCCAAAAAGTATAGTAGGACAGCCAAAATGGGACGGAGGGACTATCTAACCGTTACGATCTAAATTGAATTGTAGACATGATCTAACATTTTAAATTCATATTTGTTAATGATCATCATCATCAACCTAGTTGCCGCAAAGGCTCTCCCCTATGGTGGGGTAAGGGGGTCGGATCTACGCAGTCTTACTCCTGCACTAAAGCGCAAAGAGACTATTTCCGGATGCTCCATAGTGAAAATCGCATCGAAAATTGCATGGACTGACTGCTACTACTTCATAACAAAGAAGCGCAGACAGTTTAGTGAACCATTTTGCTTTATTCCATCATATTCCCAAGCCAAAAAATAGTTAGTCTTTGACTTCATTGAAAATGATGGAAATAAATTCATATTTGTTACTCATAAGTAAAAAAAATTGAGCCATTGAAATGATTGTTGGACAGAAATCAAACGCGTTTTCGGATTCCTTCACTTATTTGTTCTTAATAAAACAATATACCTCTAAATAATACCAACATTAATTTGTTGGTATGGGCTTTCCTTCTTCCTTCATACTCTGAATCAATAACAATACATACTCTAGAAATAGCATTTTCATTTCACAATTATTTGATTTTCCATGCATTTTACCTCAGCCATGCTCTTTGGCATGGGCTTTCCTTCTTCCTTCAGCCTCTCAAGCTTCTTTTGTGCATCTTTCGCCCAGGTATACTTCGCCAAAGCATTCTCAACTTCTGTTATTGTGCATTTGCATATCTTTGCCGCCTCTTGCTTTTGACTATTTTGAAGATTCTACAAGTCCCAGAAAATAAACTAACCAGTGGGGAGAACAAGCTTTAAACCGTTTGTAAAAAATACAAACAAAACCTATCTACAATTGTGTGCTCTCTATACCACATTTTATAAGCCTCATTTCTCTGTTATTTTATCGCCAAAATTATGCCCATTTTCTCTTTTGGATAACTGACTATTTTACTTTTTAAACTAGTTTGATGTGTTAACTATCTAGACAAACTTTGAAAAAGTTACCCACCTTTGAAAAAATAATGCTACGGTTGTTTCTTGAATATTGTGTGAACTGAATGCCAGTTCGTTTCACAGCCGCATACAAATAAGCAAGGGTGGGCACACGGGGAGCAAACAGGAGTCAGTACAACAACAAAAACAACAATATCCCAGCCTTATTCCCAAAAGATTTTGGGGTCAGCTAATATGAATCGATCCATGATATCAGAGCCAAAAAGAGAAGAAAGATAAAATAAAAAATAAAAATAAAGAAAGATTAAATGGCTAAAATAAAGAAAAATATAAGATAAAAATAACATAAGAACATATGAAAGAAAAATGAGCATAAGAAATATAAAAATAACAAACGTTGAGTGCAATTGTCCATATTTTACTCATGAATACAAGATATATTAGAAGGGTATATATACATACTCTATCCCACGGTAAAATAAATTTTGCTAGTAATGTGCACTTTTCCAAACGACTATAGTTAAAGAGGCTCTAAGAAAGATGGGTCCACATGGCATACCGATCAAGATCTGGAGAAATTTGGGAGAGAAGAGTGTAGAATGGTTAAAACATTTTTTAAACAAGATTTGGAGAAAGAATAATATGTCAGCGAGTTTGCGGAAGAGTACTCTTATTCCTTAATTTAAGGATAAGGGTGTTATGCAAGAATGTGCCAACTATCGAGGGATTAAGATTATGAGTCACACCTTGAAACTTAGGGAGTGAGTGATTGAACAAAGGCTCCAAAAAAATGTGAAGATCTCAAAGAATCAATTCGGTTTTATGTCTGGTCGTTGAACAACTAAAGTCATTCACCTTCTTAGGCAACTTGTAAAGAAGCATAGAGACACTAACACGGATTTGCATTTGGTGTTCATTGACTTAGAAAAGACGTATGATAGAGTACTTCGAGATGTTCTTTGGTGGACCTTAACTAAAAAAGACATATCACGTAAGTATATCAACATAATCTTGGATATGTATGAGGATTGTACTACGAGTATATCAACTAAAGAACCAACATATGTCAGAAACTGCAAGGGCTCTTTTATTTCAAATGATTTTGCCTAAACAATTTTGGGATGTTGTCAGATCTATTGCATGTTTTTGATAAATCATATGTCGTCTTCTATTTTGGATAGCAAAACTCCTCATCATTACTTATTTTCAAATAAAAAGCTTTTCTTATCCCACCTAAAATATTTTGTTGCAATTTTTTGTTAGAGACATTAATTTGCATCTTACAAAGTTAGATCCCAAATCATTAAAATGTATTTCTTGGGTTATTCTCGTGTTCAAAATGGTACACATGTTTTGTCAAGTACAGGTTGGTATCTTGTTTCTATTGATGCATTATTTCATGAGAACACGCCTTTTTCATCATCAAAGATAGATGTTCATGAGGACCCTGATGAAATGCTGATAGGTACACGCAAATCTGGCGATGAATCGTTGATTATGAAAACTGAAAATGAAACTGAAAGTAACGATACAGATGAGGCAAGTTCGAGGGTGCCTCGTCTCTCCCAAGTCTCAATCCAATCCAAGTTCTGCCTACCTCTGTACTCACAACTCACCCTATTTATTCTTTTTCTAAGGGGCAGCCCACTTCTATTTAGTTATAGAGCATAAACCCCTTTTATTATACAATATTAAAAGACTTAATAACATTCTTATTCTAGTATTATTTTAGGTCTTTATCATCACCCCCCCCCCCCCCTTGACACCACCTTGTCCTCAAGGTGGGGAGTAAGGAACAGTCATGCCATTCAGTTTCATCTTGATAGGAGATAGCCCTGATCTTCCACTACATCTTCATCCTAGCGCCTCTACCTTCCCAGTATCTCACTGATTTCTGAGCTAGGAGCTTCACTTCTTGAACCCTCATCCTTGAGTTGGTCACAGCAGGGTTGAGCAAATGTAAAGACATGATGGCATAATAATGATCCATAATGTTATGAAAAATAGAATCTCCCAGCAGCAGCATCTCTTGTTGTAACATTTGCTTTGGTTCCAACATCTTTTCAAGAAACTTGACCTCAAGTTTGTCAAACCTGAAAAAACTCTAACCCAACTTTTAACTGCATTTTTAACATAAAAGTCATTGGGACACCAGAAACGATATAAAACCGGTCCAACTGCCTCTGATCTGAAATCCATTTCATGGTAACATCTCAAGATATTCCCAAAGATACCCTCAAACTCGAAGCTTTTAAGCAAGTCCCTGTAACAGTTTAAACAAAAATTTCTGTTAATCTCAGCTAGCCTCTCCAAGGTATATCTTTTCACAAGTAGATATTGGTTTCTAAGTCTCTCAGCCATGACTTTGATTCTTTCAGAATCCTGCTGATAAGGAGCAGCCACTCCAACAAAGGCAACAGTCTGCCTTTGTTGAATCTCAAGTATGTAAGGTACCAGGCAAACCATGAAATGAAGAATTGCTGCACTTCCTTCTTCCATTAACACATCACAGAGGTCTTGCATGGCCTTGGCAGCACTCTTTTCCCGTTTCTGGGAATGCTCTTCTTTCATTAAGAGGTGTGCAGGTGTTAACTGACAGCTCATGGACTGCATCACTCCCACTCCATACTCAGTAGGGGGATGGTTAGAACTCCAGAGTTTTAGAAGTCCACTAAACGCCAATGAGACAGTTTACGGTTGCTATCTAAACGCCAATGAGACAGTTTACAGTTTACCAGCAAATTGTGGCTCCCTACCATCCCTAGAAAATATCTGGACACAGTTTACGGTTGCTATTCCATCTAATGAGATATTCAGCAATGGTACATAACAACTCCAATGACTCTCTCTTCCATCATACTCTGCAGCAACTGGTGTAATCCACAGCACAGCTATACAGTAGACATTGTGTTCCTCTTCAGTGGCTCACTCTGCTTTGATAGAAGAACTCTCAGTACGTCCCAATGTCCATAGTTAACTAAATGAGAGTCCCACATCAGATGAGAACCTAGGGATTCAGAGTATTAATAGCAACTATCTATACCCTTAAACTGGTTCAGCTCATCTAAAGTATTGTCTGATGACAGTTTGTGCACAATATTTCTTACAACAACCCATCCATCCTCATGATCTCTATCAATCACAGATTCAAAATCTACTGGTTTTCGTTCTAGTGTACTAGCAAACCTCCATCCCTTTATTTTAGCCCCGGTGACATTGTTGATCAGTACCAAGGTAGTACCAGTGTTATCTGTAAGATTTGCTTCCGGACTGTCAATAGTGTCAGGACTGTGTGGTTTGGAATCATCAGGATTACCTGGTGGATAATCCGTAGGTTGAGTAACACAATCGTTCAGAACCAGTTCAGTGATTGATGGTTCAGTTGGCTTAAACTCATTGTTTATTTTCGATAATAGAGTCTCCAGCAGTTCACTTCCTGATTCCACGTGGTCTATGGCTTGCGCAGGGTGAGAATTGACTTGCGTTGAATCCTGTGGACAGGGTAGATCTGTTTGAGGTGACACTGGTAAAGCTGAGAACAATGAAGCTTGCAAACTGGTAAACTCTACTTGCTGCGACTGTGAACTGGGATAAACCGCTAGCGATGCCACCTTCGAAGAAGAGTATTCTGCTTGTGACGAAGATGGCTTACCAGTACAAACGATTTGCGTTGAGTTCTGCGAACAAGGAGAAAATATTCGCGTCTGCGAACTGGGGGACGAAGTTCGGAATTTCGAACTGTGAGAGGGAGTTCTCGACGAAGCCAGACAACTGGACGGAACCTGCGCACGCGACGATGCTTGCGAACTAGGCCAAGCCATTCACGATTGCGAACTAGGAGGAGCGACGGACGAAGACACCTGATTTTCAATTGGCCGACGGTGTCTACGAGGACTCCTCGCTCGGCCTCTAATTCTTCAGCGACGCTTTTATGCAGATGATTTATCATCTCGTCCAGCATTGTTTCCATCTACGTGACATGGCGTTCCACACTTGCAGTACTATTCTCCATCTGCGCACGTAACAGTACTCTACTCCAGCGATCGGATGCTCTGATGCCAATGATAGGTACACGCAAATCTGGCGATGAATCATTGATTATGAAAACTGAAAATGAAGAAACTGAAAGTAACGATACAAATGAGGCAAGTTCGAGAGTGCCTCGCCTCTCCCAAGTCCCAGTCCAATCCAAGTTATGCGTACCTTTCTACTCACAGCTCACCCTATTTATTCTTTTTGTAATGCGCCAGCCTATTTCTATTTAGTTATAGAGCATAAACTCCTTTTATTATACAATATTAAAAGACTTAATAGCATTCTTATTCTAGTATTATTTTAGGTCTCTATCAAATACTCATTTGCACGGTTACTATACCAGAGTCCACACCTTCAAAAATTATACAACATGTTGCTATTCTCGACCCCAGACCTCCAATACACTTGGTTTACACCTGTCAACACAAAGCATCTTATCGGTCCACCTATGATTACTTATCTCGATCCTAATCTAGCTTCGATCTCATGTCCTTATCCAATACCTACATCTTCAGATCTTGTCTCTACATCACAACTTGACCACCTGATAGTACTACGTAAAGGTACATAGTCTTATACTCATTTTGTTTCTTACTTTGCATCATACAGTCATTTATCACCTACCTCATGTTCTTTTATTACTTCCATTGATTCTGTTTTTGTTCCAAATTTGTTAAAGCAGCATTGTCTCATCTTGAATGGTGGCCAGCCATGATAGAGAAAATGAATGCTTTGAATCTTATGGTCCTCGAGTTTGTGGTGTATGTCGATGATATTGTGATTACAGGGAGTGATAATGTAGGAACTTTGACCCTTTGGGAATTTTCTTCAAAGCCAATTCCAAACAAAAGATCTAGGCTCAATGAAATCCTAATCTAGCTTCGATATCATGTCCTTATCCAATACCTACATCTTCAGATCTTGTCTCTACATCACAACTTGACCTCACGATAGTACTACGTAAAGGTACATAGTCTTATACTCATTTTGTTTCTTACTTTGCGTCATACAGTCATTTATCCCCTACCTCATGTTCTTTTATTGTTTTCATTGATTCTGTTTTTGTTCAAAAATTTGTTAAAGAAGCATTGTTTCATCTTGAATGGTGGCAAGCCATGATAGAGAAAATGAATGCGGTGAATCTTATGGTCCTCGAGCTTGTGGTGTATGTCGATGATATTGTGATTCCAAGGGAGTGATAATGTAGGAACTTTGACCCTTTAGGAATTTTCTTCATAGCCAATTCCAAACAAAAGATCTAGGCTCAATGAAATTCTTATTGGGTATTGAGGTAACACGAAATAAGAAAGACATATTTTCATCTCAACGTAAATATGTACTTCTTTGTTGGTGAAAATGGGGAAGTTTGGTTCCCAACGTGCAACTCACTCAATAAGGCATGTCATTCGAAGACCCAGAAAGGTATAGAAGATTGGTTGGAAAGCTTAATTATCTTACAGTTACTCGTCCGGATATTGCTTACTCTGTGAGCGTAGTGAGTCAATATATGTCATCTCCGACCATTGATCATCGGGCCGTTGTAGAACATATATTATGCTACTTGGAAGGGAGCACCAGGACGAGGTATTATTTAGGAAAATCATGATCACATGAGAATATAGTGCTTCGTAGATGCGGATTGGGTCGGATCTAAAGTTTATCGAAGATCTACATCTGGGTGTTGTGTATTTATTGGGGTAATTTAGTATATGAAAGAGTAAGAAACAAAATGTGGTTTCCTATTCGAGTGCTGAGTCAGAATATCTAGCTATGCCACAATCTGCATGTGAGATCATATAGATAAGCCATTTATTGAGTGAAATTAGAATGAAGACGCCAACGCCTGCTAAATTGTGATGTGATAACCAAGCTATTATACACACAGCAAATAATCCAGTATTTCAAGAGAGAACAAAGCATATTGGGGTTGATTGTCATTTTATTCGAGAGAAGATACATAAAGGGTTGATCTGTACCAGACATGTGAAGACAAGAAAACAACTTGGAGATTTATTAAATAAAGCACTATATGGGATTTGAGTTGATTTCTTATGTAACAGGTTAGACATGATAAATATTTGGGATTTTGAACCTTAATATTAATAATAAGTTGATAATTGACAAAAAATTGACTTTTTAGTGATTTCGGCCGCCATCGCCGGCGGACACAGTGACACCTCCGCAGTGACACTTCCACAGTTACGCCTCCACAGTGACTCCGGTTGCCTCCGCTGCTGGCCACAGTGACACCTCCTTAGTGACACACTTTCACAGTAACACCTCCAATGTGTCTCCGGCCACCACAAGCCATCGACCTCAGGTTCAGTCCTCAACCTTAGCCCCCAATCTCCAGCATTTCTCCACAATCGTGACCACCACCGCCGATCACCACCATCCCACCACTGCCCTTCACTCCCCCATTCACCATGTCGCACAATTATACCTCCCATGTTGCTTGAACCTCTGGACACTTCCCCACCCTCTGCCCTAACCTCTGCCAGCCGCCAGCCCAGAAACCGTAGCCGCCGCCCCCGCAACTCGCCCATGTCACTCTAGCCAAACCTTAGCCGTCGCACATTATCGAAGGTCAGTTTCTCTCCTAATCGATGAGCGTTAGCGTGAGCTATCCGAATTGAAGCAGATCAAAGGTCTCATGCTCCAGATCGATTGGCGGTGGCGCTCTCTGAGTCAAAGCAGATCGAAGGTCTCCTGCTCTAGATCGATAGGCAGCGGCACTCTTCGAGTCGAAGCAGATGGATAGTCGCTGCTCTCTATATCGATGGGATCAATTGCAAACGGAAGAAGAAAGGAGATGTGATGGGATCGATTGCGAAGAGAAGAAGAAGAAGAAGAAGAAGAAGAAGAAGAAAGGAGTTGCAACGAGATTGATGCAGGAGTGACAGGAGGACTGAAGGTGTGACGAGGCGATGCAAACGGGAGGGCTGAGAATGGACGAAGAGATAACAGCGACGAAGAGATGTAAAAGAGGGGGCTGGGAAATTAAGGGCATCTTGGTCTATTCAGTCTAATTCAGTCACTTTTCCGTCCTGATATAAGTAATATTTATGTCATTCTTTCTAAATATTTATACTTTAACTTGAGGGGAGTGTGAAACATACTAGAAATATAAGAATATGCTTAGAATATGTTGGGATATACTCTAAATATTATTATCATATAACAGCTTATATAGGAATATTTTATCTTTGTAATCTATATTTATAGGATCTTAACCCTCCAATGAAATACACAGAAAATCCTTCTATCTTCAATATTATTCCAGTTTATATTTCAACAATGCATGTTGTAGCAGAAAATGTATAGTTATCTTTAACGGGTGCAGCGTAGTGCACATTAACATTCCTACGAGGCGAGAGTCTTGAAAGGTCCCACCACAACAACGTATAAGGAGCAAGTGATGGCTTATCATTTTGACATCAAGCCGCTCTATATAATAAGATATTTCTTAAAGAGCATTGTGTGCACCAGAAACACTGAATCCTAGTACCTAATGCATTGCATGGCGCACTACCTTCTGCACTTAAAGTTTGTGGTGCACCTGCACCTGATGCATTCTTCACATAGATATGAATTCTTCATGAGCCACTTTTCAATTTTATGTTCTCCATAAGCTTTATGGATGATTTAATTAATCTGATTTTAGAAAAAAAACAGAAATGATAGCATACCTCTCCAGTGGGATCAAATCCGCCAAGGCAACGAAGAATGGCTTCTTGCTTAGCAAAGGCATCAGCGAAAGTGGCGTCACTACTTCTCCCCACCAAGTACTGCTTCCAATTTGACAACTTCCTCGCATTGCTCAGCTCATTCGCAAAAGCTAAGCATATATTCATCGAATTTTCGAAATTGGTTAGGAATCCATCAGTAATCCCGCAATACTGCAGCAAATAAATCATATTCATGAAAATAACAAGCGAATAGGGTCAATCTTTTAAGGGGATATACATAGAAGCGTGAAGGTCCCGGAAGGCTTTTGTCCAGTGAAGACGGTCTTGACTTTGTCTACCCACGAAGCTAGATGCGGCGTGGATGAGATCTGCCGCCGCTTCCGTGGTGCTGCCTGGTGGCGGCAGTTTTGGTAGAGAAACCCGATTCGATGGCGAATCATGGGCTGGGCGCGCGATTGGTCAGACGAATTGAATACTAAAATGTGAAGATCAGGCTGTACGTTATGCTGAGGACATGGGCCTCCGGCCCAAACAAATTAAAAGTTAGAGGCCCGGATTTTTTAAATACAAATATGTATGTGCGTGTACAAATATTTTTCGATTGTTTGAATTAGGGGTGTAAGGTTGTTTTTACTTGGACTGTAATTCGTCTTATATCAGATCAGACCAGACCAGACCAGACCAGACTAAAACAGACCAACTCAGACCAGATCAGATCATATTTCATTATTATTATTATTATTATTATTATTATTATTAGGGGTGTGCACCGGTTTAAAACTGAACCGGATTGTACCGAATCAGACCGGATATCATTCCGGTTTGATCCGGTTCCGGTTTTTTCGATCCGGTTCGGTCCGGTTTTCCGGTTTAAAGCGGATAGTGCACACCCTAATTACTAATATTATTATTATTATTACTATTATTATTATTATGGGTGTGCACCGGTTCAAAACCGGACCGGACCGTACCGAACCGGACCGGATATCATTCCGGTTCGATCCGGTTCTGGTTTTTCCGGTCCGGTTCGGTCCGGTTTTCCGGTTTAAATCGGATATTGCACACCCCTTATTATTATTATTATTATTATTAGTGGTAGTGGTAGTGGTAGTGGTAGTGGCAGTGGTAGTGGCAGTGGCAGTGGCAGTGGTAGTGGCAGTGGTAGTGGCAGTGGCAGTGGTCGTGGTCGTGGTACTGATCGTAGTAGTCGTAGTAGTAGTCGTAGTAGTAGTCGTCGTAGTAGTCGTCGTCGTAGTCGTCGTCGTAGTCGTCGTCGTAGTAGTCGTAGTCGTAGTCGTAGTCGTAGTCGTAGTCGTCGTAGTCGTAGTCGTAGTCGTAGTCGTAGTCGTCGTAGTCGTAGTCGTCGTAGTCGTCGTAGTGGTGGTGGTGGTGGTGGTGGTGGTGGTGGTAGTAGTAGTAGTAGTAGTAGTAGTGGTAGTGGTAGATGCACCTTATTGGTATAAGTGCCACTATTAATCTCTTTAAACTAATCTCAAGTATTACAACCTGTAACACCCTTCCCCGTAGGGCCCGAGGTAATTACTCATAAATATTCTCCAGACCTCTAGTACTGTCCTCACAAACCGTCACAAGCCTTTTCCGCGCACTTTGTTCTCACTCGTGCTTGCCCTGAGAAACTTCTGAGGGGGTCACCCATCTCAAGACTACTCGTGTGCAAGAATGCTTTACTTGGATTTCTTAGCTAGAAGCTCCTTTAAAAGGAGATGCACCTTGTTGGTTATGAGTAGTACTATTAATCCATTTAAATTAATCTTAAGTATTACAATCTCCCCTGCTTAGGATCGCAACGTCCTCGTTGCGCCCATAAGCCAATTCAATTTCAATCATACCCCCGAATCTTCCTTTGCTAAGTGTCCGCCCAATATTCAACAGATCAGCACACTATCACAGGGTTGCTCTAATACTACCTGTAACACCTCGCCCATAGGCCCGAGGTAGTTACTCTTAACCTCTCCGACCTTTAGTACTGTCTTCATATACGAATCACAAGCTTTGAATGTGCACTTTGTCCTCACTCGTGCGCGTCCTGAGAAACTTCCCAGAGGGTCACCCATCCTAAGACTGCTCTCGTGCAAGCATGTTTAACTTAGAGTTCTTATCTGGTGAGCCCCCCTTAAAGGGAGATGCACCTTGTTGGTATGAGTAATACTATTATTCCCTTTAAATTCATCTCATGTGTTACATTTGTGAACATATGATTTTTTAGAGTTTGCATTGAGTAATGTGATTGAGAAGCCAGTGAAGAAGAACTCAAGGATTTTAATAGGATGACCAAAGTGCTCGGGGACATGGATGAGAGAGTTGAGATGCGAAAATTGTTGCGACATTATGAGCATGCTCTGTCATTGAGGAAATCATACTTCAAGAAGTAGAAGTGAAGCAAAGCAAGAGAGGACTTGACTACACAGGGGGAGATTGTTGAAGATTGTTTTAATTGTGACCAAGCTGTTATTACTAATCTTGTATTTCCTTTTGTAGAATAAAATTAGATATTAAACAAGGCTTTAAATTGGACAAGGGCCACATGAATGTTAGGGTCCAAGTCCCATCAGTTTAGGCTTTTACGCCACAGTACCCTAGGCATATAAATATGCGCTAAAGGGGAATATTCTGTATCGATTAAATCAGCCGCAAAGCATATTTAGAATATTTTTTCTTTTTCACGTTAAGGAGAAAACTTCATCTGTTCTTTTCATTCTCGATCATTATCAATGGGTTTTCTTCCCTGGAGCATACAGAAAGGGCTAAGAGTAAGTATTGTCCAAAGAATAGTGAAGACTTTGTAAACCCAGCAGAGTTGGAGTTTAGTAAAACATATTTCCAATAGATGCAAGTGGTACCCCGCTGATGTAGCTCTAAACCGATAAGGATGATTTTACGATGTTGGGTAAATTGGTGTGTTTAATCGGAAAATATAGAAATTAATTAAATAATTAGCCAAGAAAACATAAACAAGAAGGGCAGAAACTCAAATTTAAACTTGTGCAACACACATTTCCATAAAACCTATTCGCTGCCTCTCACGGTGCTAGGCGTGTTGCAGCGATAGTTTCTCAGGATACGATGGCTACGAACAACCGTATGAGCACACAATCGGTTGTTCCGGAGAACGGAAACAAAGCATGAACAATGGAGATTTTTTAGAAAGCTATGGGCATTTTTAGCTGAAAACAATGTGTAAACTGTGAAATGTTGTGTATATTTCGTGTGTTGTTGAGAATCACCTGCCAGCTATATATAAGGATGGATCTGTTGTGCCTTAAGTGACCTTTAATGGACTAGAACGTTGGACATAAATGACCGGAACGTTGGACATTAAATGTTGTAACGGTTCAGCAGCCTGCTGGTGACCGTTGAACAACGAGTAGCAGTTCTGAAAAGAAAAAGAATTGGAACGTTGCGGGAAGAAACAAAAATTAACTCTTATCTATGTAAGATAGATTTTCAGACAACATTCGTGTCCGCAAGTCGCCCGCACAATTCATAATTTTTCTTCTCCGTTTTCGGGATTTGATTGACACCCCCTTGCGCGTGAAGAGAGGCTTTCAACCTAAGAATCTTAACTCATTCAAAGAGGGGTCACCTTTATAAGGCTAACCGCAACGCAGTCCATCATTAAATCTAATTCCCTACCAGTTTATACGTATTCACTCAGTCAATTCGGTTCTTCCCTGCAACCCGGCTTCGTCAATATATATTCATTATTCGCATTTTTTTAATTAAATGGATAAATCCTTAATTTTTTATTACACATCATTTATGTGACAATTTAATTTTAACAATAATTATGATTTCAAAAGTCAAACATTCTGATGTAAAAAAAATAAAAAAATGTGAATTAATTTTTTGTAAGTATTAAAAATGCACACTTGAATTAAAGTCAGTAAAATTTAAAAAATTCCATTATTATATACATTGCTTTAATATTAATTTCCATTTTTTATATATTTCTATAATATTAATTTTCATTTTTAATACTATGTACTCTATCTAATTTTTTATTTAAGTAAAGTGTAGCTGTTTAAAGCAACCAGGAGAGCTCCAATATTGCATGTACGAAGGAATCAACCAAACGTATGGAGAGTTCCCAGCCGCACGTGCAAGCTTCCTCCACATCTTCATTGTTGCAATTGTCACGCGCGTGAATAGCTGCGCACATTTGTTGTTGGGCCAAGGAGTCAATACGCCGGCCAGCTCTCCCTCTAGGTTTCCCCAACTACTTTTGAGACCTTGCTATACAAAAAAGAGCTAGGTTGCAAAAATTTCTGGGGTGAAAACTTCCCATTTGGGTATTCATCCCTTTGAAATGCCTTTAGCCTAAGAGAGTGAAAATCCCTTTGATTTTCCGGTGTGGGATAAGTCACACTAGAAACTCATATTTTTCCTAGTTTTCTTCATTTCAACGAGTGGACTCTGAGAATCAATTTCTCATTCACCCGTTATCCATTTTGAGTGTATCATATATCGAATCGAAGCTCTTAACAAGGAGAATCTGAAACCACTTTGACTAGACCCAAATCTGAAGTAGGATCCACCCAAAATTCCACCCAATTTGACCTTTTAATGCAATTTTAACATATTTTTCCAACACACAAAAAATATGCCATATTAAGCCAAATATGCCATATTACTATGAAAATGTTATATTACATAAAAACGGGCTAAGTATTTGATTTGACCATATCTTAATATATCATCTTCATTTTTCTTGAACCCACTAGGTAAAACACCTTATGATGGGACAAATGCCGGGAAACATTTGCCAGGTTTGATTAAAAGTCCAAAAGGCAGTACAAATTTGGAAAGGGAGAATATACCAAAATTTGAATTTCCTTTGTCGGGACTTGAACCTGAGTCTTTCAGGTGAGAGCCAAATATCCTGACCAACTAGACTACAACGAAATTATTGTACGTTCTTCAGTTTTAAACGTTTTATATCTCGTTGGAAAGATCATTTTGAGTTCTAAAAATGGTTTTCAAACTTCATTTACAATTAATGAAAGAATAGCAACAGATTAACCGGAAATTAATCAACATTTCTGATTTCACTCTGAACTCATGTAGTATTTGATTTGCTCATATTTTGCTATATTTCATTACGTTTGAAGCGTTTTATAGTTCATTGGAATTTGGAAAGTTTTTATCGAGCTCTAATTCTCATTTCAAACTTTGTTTATAAAATAATAAAGGATTATTAGCTAAATATATCCCCAACTATCATCAAATTCACAAATATATCCCAGACTTTCACTTTTATTAAAAAAATACTCAAACTTTAATTTTTCTCACACTTACACTTTCAGTTGATGGATTAGTAAAACTTAAGAAGAAAATCATATTTATATTTCATATTTTTTCACTTCTTTCTAGTTTAGAGTTCACAAACTTGTATTGTTATATCTTATTGGTATTGATAAAAATGTGTATTTTTGAAAAAACAAAAAAGAAAAGCATAATTATTGAAAAAGATGAAGTTTGAATCTTTTTTTGATAAAAGGGAAAGCATGGGATAAATTTGTGAATTTGATGATAGTTTGAGATAAAATAAGCTAATATCCAATAATAAAATACATTTAAAGTCAATAAGGGTAAATTTGCTTCTTAATATACACTTTAAGAATATTTTTATACCTTTCTAAATCTTAGGGGCACCTAAAGGTAAAAATGAATCGTATATTCGTACCTTTCCCCTACTTTTAAATACATAAGATTTATTTTTCATAGGTTGAAAGAAAGTTCATGTTTTTTAAGGCTAGAGGAAATATTGAGCTCGCTTGGTAACACTGAAGTTGAAGGAATCAACCGATTCTGCTGAAATCTCTGAAATTTTGGCAGAAGAAGTTGGATTGGCTAATTATGGTGAATTATGAAAAAATGGTATTTAAAATATACTTTATTAATAAAATAAAGAAGAAATTATATAAAAAGTTGTTAAAATGATCACATACAGCAACTACAGCTAATGTAGTCAGAAAATTAACTTTAACCTTACTTATTTTGATTGTTACACAATTCAACGTGTTAATATAAAATTTACGTATTTAGCGAAAAAGTTAACTGATGACGTTGAGAAATCAAGAATAGGATCATCAAATGAGCTCATAGTGTTTAAATGTTTCTCGCATGAGTGGTTGTGCTATTAATTCTAGTTTTGATGCATGAGTTAGTTTTAGAGATTAGATGTCAATTGTACTTGCTAGCGGTTGATAACGTTCGAAAAAAATGGGGTGATTAAGAATGCCTTTTCACTAATGCTATTAAACAAAAATAAACCTTTTTATCAAATATACTAACTTTAAATAAAAACCTACCAGTATTCATTACGGCTGGGAATCGCTGGAAAAAGTGGGGAAAAAATCGGACTTAGTTTAGATCGTCTTGGTACCCAAAACCAGCCCAAACTTGAGTTTATCTGAGTCAGACACGGGCTTCATCTACCAAGGACCCTAACCAACTGGTACGAGACTAGAAGCGAACCGGGAATGGGTCCACTCCTACTCCGTACTATTTACTCAATACACCCCAAGTGTTGTTTACAATGAAGAGTAAAATAATTAGGACATGTTTACTAACAGAGATATTTTCCTATTTTCTACTTCTGTTTTTCGTTCTCCAATTTTCTGTTTTTATTTTTCAATTTTTCTATCTCCAATTTTCTGTTTCTATTTTTTAGTTTTTCATTTTCAAATCTGAAAACATGTTCATCAATTTTTTCACCCAGTTCTGTGATCATCCAGAAGACTTACACATTTACTTCACAGGTTACTAAATGATGCTTATTAAGACTCGCGTCAATAAGCGACGCATAAAATAAGCAATGTTATAAGATCATTTTACTTCAAAAGGTTTAAAACACCGTTTAACATTAAAATGTCCAAAATAACCCTATACATATATAGACACACAAACATTCATGAACACAAATATATAATATAATATGTAGGGTCGATCACCTCGTACGTGTACCCATACTCCTAATCCCTACCCTGCCCCTATACCTCATATCCCCAACATACACCCTACACCCAATTCCATACCCTTGACCCAAACCCCTACCCTTACCACGATCTTACACTCTACCCATACTCCCCTAAAACCCTTCATACCCACCCATACCTACTCGTAGGGGTCGGTGTGGGGAATGAAGGTATGGGTGGGTGGGGGCGGGTGGGGGTGGGGTAAGGGGTATGGTCAGGGTGGGGTAGTAAGGTCTATGGGTATGAGGTTGGGTGGGGTAGTGGGTGGGTTACGGTGGTGGTTAGGGGTAAGGTTGGGGGTAGTGAGCAGGGTTGGGGATGGGATAAGGTAGGGGTAGGGTAGGGAGTTGGGATAGGATGATGGTAGGGTGGGGCTGGGATAAGGGTGGGGCCGAGGTAGGGAAATGGGGGTAGGGTGGGGGGTAGGATAACGGTACGAGGGTGGGGGTAGGATGACGGTAGGGTGGGGCCGAGGTAGGAGGCATGTGGGAAGGGGGAAGGGGTAATATACGAGGTGGGGTAAGGTAGGGTGGGTCGGGGGTGGCGGTAGGGTAGGGTGGATCAGAGTGGGACCGAGGTAGGGGCATGTGGTAGGGGGTGGGAGTAAGGTCATTGTAGGGAAAAAGGGTATGCAGGTTGGGGGTTGGGGTGGGTAGGGTAGGGGTAATGGGTAAGGTACGAGGATGGAGGTACTAGAATGGAATCGACATCGGAGTGAGACCAGACTCACCACTAGGTGTAAGTATGCAAACTCATTGCAGCGGCCTGTAGCACTATGTAAAAGTCACTTCTCCAAATCATTAATGAAAAGAGAAACATGTCTCATTTTTTTCGTTTCGGAAAACGATTTGGTAAACTCATTTTTCTATTTTCCTTTCTCCAGTTTTCCAACAATTTTCTTTGGTAAACACGTTTCCTGTTTTCTAGTTTTCCAATTTTCTGAAAAAACTGGAAAATATCTTTGTCAGTAAACAGGCCATTAGTGTTGCTTAATATTTGTTATGTGAGAGTGCCACCAAAAAAGAGAATGATGATGTTTATTATGTCAAATCAAAGTGCTCAAGAATGACCATAATGACATAGGAAGTGTGAAATTGATTCTGCTTCTACTACTTTTCTAAAAATAGAAAAAACAAAATAAGTTTTTCAAAACTCTATCTCATCCAGCTTCTAAAAGTTGTTTCTAAGTGCATTTCAATGCACTCAGACGTGCTTCTACACTTCCATCCAAACAATCAAATATCCACTTCCTAAAAAAGCAGAAGCAGTTTTAAGTAGATCCAAACACCCTCTTACTCTAGTATCTCTATACATATTTGTGGTAAACTTGACCGCATATTAATATATATATGTGAGATCACATACAAACTATACATCTTTATATTATTTGTATTGTATATTGAAGTTCAAAGTGGTGCTTATTTACATTATATTTACATCATATTATTCAAGTCATAAAAATAGCAATTTTATATTTACATTATTTGTATTGCATATTGAAGTTTAAAGTATTGCATATTATTGAATTTGTAGTTTAGTAAATTAAGCATGATTTGTATTTGATCTCTAATATATATATATATATATATATATATATATATATATATATATATATATATATATATATATAGAGAGAGAGAGAGAGAGAGAGAGAGAGAGAGTCATTCTCCTGTCCAGCAGCCTTCCGTCCGAACGCCGTCCGAACAACGCCATTTGGGGCGGATCCCGGTGGATTTTTTTGTTGAAATTTTTTGAGCGTGTTCCTCATCAAGTCTAGTTTACCCATACCAATTTTCAGCTTAAAATTCGATTGGGAAGGCAGTCAAATAAATTGTTGAAGTTAACTGCGCAAAATTGTGCATAGAAAAACGCAGTCAACTTCAAAAAATGATTTGAGTGCCTTCCCGAATGAATTTTGAGCTGAAATTTTTTGTGGATAAACTAGATTTTATGAACAACATATCATAAAAATTTCATCAAAAAAATCAACCGGACACCACCCCAAACGGCGGTGTTCGGACGGGTTTGGACCGGGGGCTGCTGGACCTGAGAGAGAGAAGTTCATGTCCGGAATTTCGGACAGGAACCGCCGTGCGGACGGCGACGTTTGGCTGCCTTCACAGTGCAATTTTTGATGAAATTTTTATGAGATGTTCTTCATCAAGTGAAGTTTATCCACAAAAAAACAGCTAAAAACTCAATCGGGAAGGTCGTTAAATAATTTTTGGAAGTTAACTGCGTTTTATATGTATTTTCCGGCGCAGTTATCTTACAAAAATCATTTGACGACCTTCCCGTTTCCCGATTGAGTTTTTAGCTGAATTTTTGTGTAGATTACTATATATATATATATATATATATATATATATATATATATATATATATATATATATATATATATATATATATATATATATATATATATATATATATATATATATATATATATATATATATATATACACGCCCTTCGTCTCATTCAAAGGTTCTCATCCACTATTCACATGGTCAATTTAAATCATTTTTAATCTTTTGCTTTATATATCATTTTTTTTATCAAATTTACATTTTTTTATCAAATTTACATTTTTTATCAGTCTTTGTATCGGTTTAAATGTAGTATCTGAATATGTAAATTTTATTTACTAAAAATAATCAGAGTGTGAGCAGAGATTTACGTTGCTTATACCGTAATTGGAACCTCCGAATGGGACGGAGGGAGTATATATTAAAAAGATATACGTTCAATAATTATTGATTTATTGAACGGGATGGATGTCGTCGGTGGAAAACAAATAAAGAGCCTCTGGATCCTCTTCCCAGCCTCATCTTCTCATCAATGTATAGGATCTGCAGTTTAACCTCACTCTCACCGCCATACTTCAATTCTACCCACCCAATCTTAACATTCGGGGGTGTGAAAACAACTTCAATCCATTTTTCATCAACCACCTTCAATTTGCCTGCACTCACAAACCAATCCGTTCAATGGAACATATTGGCGCTATATACTCTAAATTTGCGCTAACATTCGGGAGAGAGCAATTCATATAGGCCATTTGAGGTCTTCCATGATGGAATTTTTGACCATGTTTTTAATTAAAGCGCTCTCCAAATTTTAACTAAAAATTCAATCAAGTCAATCAAATGTGGAATTGAACAACACTGCGTTGTTTATATATATATAAACCACAATGTTTTTAAAATTTAGCTCAAAATTCATTCGGGGGCCTATTTGCCACTTTTCCCTACAAACATTTATTCCAAAGTGATGCAAAATGAAGCTCGTCTATTGCACTTTTTCATGTTATCATAATATTTATCAAAATGTCGCTGTTTTTATTTAATATTTGTTTGATTTAAGCAAAGTTAAAAAGTGCAACAGACAAGCTCTATTGTGCATCACTTTGAGTTAAATGTATGTGTTCTCATGATAACAATGTTCTTATTGGAACCACACTATATATAGCACGACTTGCAGGCATTATACCATATACAAGTGTTATAACAAAATATATTATTTTTATTAAGACTAGCTTTCAAGCTCGTGCGATGCACGAGCAGTATGCAATTTAGCTAATTTGAAATTTAATTTCTATCGGATCACATATAATGTGATTTAAAAGAAAAATAAACTTAATCTAATATAGAGTCTGTTTGATAATACTAAAGTAAATAGAATTAACTTATTTTGCTGAAATTGATTGAATTCTGGTTAAATAGGTGGAATCTTCTGAATCATGAAAAATATATGTGATATATATTTCATTTGTGAAACAAAGAAAAAAATATATGAAAAAAAAAGTTAAATTGATCTTCTACATAAGCATCTCAAGTAAACATAATTGTTATGATTCCAATTAAAAAAAATCTATATTTCTTAATTGTTAGATCTTACGGTTTACTCATTAATAAGAACATTTTTAATTGAATTAAAATTTCGAGTTTGATTTGGTATGAATTAATATGATCTATTAGATGTCTGTTTTTTATGTGACTTATTGTTATAATTATTAAAGTTTGATCTGATCTGATTTAATCTAGAACTGAAATCAATCCAATTAAAAACATTCTATTAAAATAAAAGTAGGAATTCGTAAACCTATAAAGATTTTCTAATTTGGATTAGGAATCTATTTCAAAAGTGAAGGCATATTTGAATTTTAGGTGTAAAATAAAGGAACAACCAAAAAAAATTACTTATTTGGCTAAGCTAAACATATTTACTTGTGAAAATATATATACTTTATGTTGGTTATAATTTTTAATTCCATTTTTAGTTATTTACTTATTTGAAGCTTACTAATTTATTAATAGGTGTCAAATTAATAAGTAAACTAATTTGCATATTTGTTTCTATTTAATTCAGTGTAGTAAACTAATATAAATTAGTTTTCATATCAATAAACGTTATTAGAATTTCACTTTGATAACCAAAAATTATTTTACTTATTTGAAGCTTACCAAATTAATTAAGGTGGATTTATAAGGATTTTTGTTTCCATATCAATATGCAATCAAAAATAGAATCTAATAAAAACAAAAGGTATAAAAATAAGTAAATAATTGTTATATATAATGACATGGCAAGATTATGTGGCGCTTTGTATGCTCTTAAAAAGTTCCTCTTTTATATATATATATATATATTGATGATTTACATATTGAGAAACTACGCTTAAAAGTTCTACTAAATCACAAAAAAATAATTCGAAAGCCATTAAGACATTATAGAGAAATAAAATAATTACAGAGTTCACATGTGAATGGTTTGTGGAGAGAGGGAGGCGTCATGTTATTGAAACCATATTTTAATTTTAATGAAATTTAAATATGCTTTTAGTTTCATTAAAATTTTATTGAAGTGGTTGAAAAAGAAAATAAATGGTTTTGGACTCTAGAGGGAATGAGTGAAACGATAAAACCCGCTTATTTTTTCAATGAATTAGATTATAGGGAGAATTGAACTTTGGGCCTCACTTTTTGGATGATATTTGACTTTGTACCCCATTACATAACATTTTGTGTAGAAAAATTTGTGAACGAGATGCAAAGTCAAAGGGTTTTTAAGTGGAATGAGGTGCAAAATCAAAATTTTTTAAAATGGACTGCAAAGTTCAATACCACTAAAAAAGTGAGACAAATTCCCCTACATTATATTGGATCAGCATGAAAAAGAAAACCTGAATTTTATTTCAAGATACAGGGGGTAAAATTGAATTATAGCTAAAAGAATAATTAATGTTAGTGATATAGCATTAGAAATTAGATTGGCAACACCGCACAAAATTGAGTATGGATGACAAACGACAAATTATATATACAAATAAAATTTACAATAAAGGGAAAAAGATTTATGTTAAACTAATATACCTTTCAAAGAAACTTCCCCATCAATGAATCCCAAAAGAGAGAAACCCACTTTATTTACCACGATGTCAGGGGCTTCAAGGACCTGAATCATTTCTTTTGTTTTGAAGAAAAGACGACCAATTGCACTCCTATAGAATCCTCCTGGTGAAGTGGGGTTTGAACAGTAGACTACTTCCCATTCTGCAAGGAATTTCAATAACTAACAAATAATAGTTCTTCAAATTTCTGAAATTTAGTATCAATCTGTAACAATCACATCAATCATAGATTTCAAACAGCAATAAGCTATGAACAAAAGCCAGTCGTCCTGCTTAAGCATGAGTTGGCTTACCAAATGGAACCTCAATCACTTGATGCCGAATCCATGCACATGGACGGTCACTCTAAGCTTCATGATAAATCCAAGGCTCTTATAGGATAGAAAAAGATTGAAATTGTCATGGGACTTGACTATAGGTTAGACAGACTTCTCTTAACCATCAAGGTTAAGAATCCTCCACATGTGGAACTATGAAAGAGAGCCACATATATATAAATTATAACGTCTTATATTCGACTATCTAATTAATTCGATTCCATCTTTCGCTTAAACCATCGGATTAAAAAAAACCGCGTAGAACTATGAAAGAGAGCCTCATGTGTATAAACTCTAACGTCTTAAGTTCGACTATCTAATTAATTCAATTCAATCTTCTAGTGTAGTTCGACTTATGGCACACAAATGAACTTTAAAAATATTATGTATAAATCTAAATTTGTATGTATGTGTGTAGGGTGCTTTTCTGGTAAGAATAGGTCTTTAGATGAGAAATAAGAATGATTCTGGGATGGAGAACTCGACAATGTTGCACTAAAAGATGCAACCATGTGAGATTGGAATTTTTATAAATACTTCGGAAAAATTCCGTGTTGCATCTTTTCACTGCAAGGTGAAACTATTTTAGTGCAACATTATTGAATCAAAAAAGGGCAAGATTCATTTTCATTTCAAACATTAGATGAACACACACACATGGCGGATCAGTGCCGACAGTGTGTCTCTCGGTGAAACTTATTCAGTATCAGTAACGTGGCTGAAGCTGCTGCACCGCGGTTCCAAGTGATGGGTTGTTGGAGTGGACAAAGAAAGATAAGCGCAGATTGCTGCACGGTGTATATCGCGTTGGTGACCTTAATCGCACTATCAAGTTTTACACAGAGTGCTTTGGTATGAAGTTATTGAGGAAGAGAGATGAAGAAGAGAGACATCACAGAGGAGAAATATGCAAATGCTTTTCTTGGTTTTGGCCCCAAAGAGTCTCACTTTGTCATGGAACTGACATAAAATTATGGAGTTGACAAGTATGACCTTGGAATGGGCTTTGGACACTTTGCTATTGCAAAAGAAGATGTTTATAAATTGGTTGAAGGCATCAAGGCAAAGGGTGGAACCATAACTCGTGAACCCAGACTTGTGAAAGGTAGATCAAATGTTATTGCTTTCACAAAAGATCCTGACAGCTACCTCTTTAAGCTTATTCAGCGAGGCTCTACTCCAGAACCACTCTGTCAAGTAATACTTCGTGTGGGTGACCTAGAACGTTCTATCAAGTTCTATGAAAAGGCATTAGGAAAGCAACTTCTAAAGAAAACGGACAGGGCAGAACAGAAGTTTACCATAGCAATGATGGGATATGCTCCAGAATATGAGACTACAGTTCTCGAATTGACATACAATTACGGCGTTACTGAATGCAGCAAAGCAAATGCCTATGCACCAGTTGCTATTAGCACAGCTGATGTATACAAAAGTGCAGAGGTTGTTAATCTTTTTGCTTTTTTATGTTCTTATGTTACTATTATCTTATATTTATTTTTACATTATCCATTTTATCTTACTTTATTTTTTTTCTTTTTCTTTTTTCTCTTTTTGTCTGTCTTCTCTTTTTGGCACTCACATCATGATTTGATTCATGTTAGTCGACCCCAAATCTTTTGGGATTAAGGCTAGATGTTGTTGTTGTTGTGACCAGATCAAGCTACACTAAAATAGATCAACCTTCATTAGACCAGACAAGACAAGTAAAATCTAAATACACCCGACGGTTACCGGACTACATCATATTAGACTAGGCTAGATTTAACCAGATCAAACCATATTTAGACCATATTTATACAGACCATATCCAAAAAACGTCCCATTAAAAGCACCCTTACATAAGCAAATAACAACCACATCTTATAGATCTAGATAACAATAGTAATAGTAATATTAAAAGTAATACTCCCTCCATCCCGAATTGAATTGCAAACTTTGACCGGCACAAGGATTAAGAAATGATAATAAATGATGCTTGTTTTTTACCCTTTTGCCCATCTTTCTAAAAGTAGATACCTTTAAGTTAATGGGGAAAAAGTAAAAGTAAAGGTAATTTTGTTACTTTATTCTTATTTACAAACCTAAAATAGAAAGTGAAAAATCATTTTGGGACAACCAAAAAAGGAAATTTTGCAAATCAAATAGGGACGGAGGGAGTATTAGTAAATAATAATAATAATAGTAATAATGATAATTATACATAATGACAAGATTTTTGTTAGTACGAGGTGATCCCGACTCTGCCGAACTAATCCCTTGCGTGCTCTTAAGAACTCACCCAAGATCTTGAGAGATTTAAATCCGAGTCTTTCAAACAATTCATTAGGTTAGATTTAGTTTCTCTCTTCTCTCTAGAGAGAGGAACCTTAACGGCCGTCTCCCCTCTTTGTAGGGGTTGAGATTTTCCATTGCCCCTATCAATATAGATTTGGAGCGGCAGTTTATACTGATTTTAAGTGTCCTAACGTTTGGCCGTTTGGGATTTCAACTACGTCGCAGGAGATAGCGTTGGCGATTGAACGAGATGCGGCTAGGGGTTGTATCGAGGCTGGATCATGAAGCTTTGGTTGGCCATTCCGATGGTGGTGGAGTTGGTATTCACCCATATTGCAAGAGCTCGTCCTCCTCCGGAAACACCTTCATACCAGGAAGAACATTGTGGAACGATTTTATTTCAGTATTATTTTCTCTTTAGTTGCAATTCTTTATGTTTTAATCCGAGTAGATTTGGTTTGAATGTTTTGATTTTTGGAGTGCTTTTGATAGGCAAGGTCTAGTCGTTTTAGGCCTAAATTTGCCCGTTTCAGGTTTAGTGAGTCATGTTGCTTTATATGAGGTGCCTGATTCTAGGTCTACTCCTAAGTTTCACGGTTGGATCTGTATTTTCTGTCTGAAGGTTATCTTGTATGTGTTCTTGATTTTAATATAACGGTCGCTCTTTTATGATAAAAGAAAACAATTCATTAGATTCCCGCCGCCATCTAATAACAAGGTTAAATATATAAAGTACAAACTGTTCATCTCGTGCAAAGCACGGGTAAATAATCTAGTGTGTATTACTTTCATATTTCAGTTCAACACAATTTACATTATTTCCATTTACTTTGATTAAGTAGTAGATTTACATCAATTATCTGTCAAACACACATAGTGTTAAGGGTCATGAAAAAATCACCTCCAAATATTAGAGGACAGTTAACGGGTTGATCCACACAGAAGATCTCCAATTCACGAGCCATCTCGGCCACCTTTTTGTGCTCTTCTCTACTCAAGAGAAGTCCTCTATCTGATTCCAGAACCTAGTTAAATCAAAATTATTGAACTCTTCTAACCGCATTTGCCTTTGAGAAATCTCAACTCGTGAATCGTTAATATAAGTAGATGACAAGTAAAGTGTTTGACTTGGGCACCTTAGATAAAAGGGAATTCACGAGAAGATCTGGCTTGGAAACGCCAGGAGAAGCTACGGCAACTGCAGAAGCACAAGGCGTTCGCCGGATCCGGAGCTTATGGTGCTGTTGAGGCGGTGGATTCTTCATCGGAGCAAAAGTGAACGAGTAGACTGGTAAGAGATTTGGAACGAAATGAAGTGAGATATTGGTCGTGAGAGCGGAGATGGAGGCCATGTCTCCACACCTTGGTACAGATTTCTGAACTCGGTTGCAGATTTGGTTGAAGGGTTTCTTCACAAAATAAAAAATAATGGCACCCCATCCCGGAAGCCCCGATCTCTACCGAAAGTAGGTTGGCAGTAAATTAGAAAATAACCTCTGTCCCGCCGTTACTTACAGAAGTTCTATCATTTTTAGCATAGTAACTTCTCATGATACTTGACGGAATTCAAACCCAGAACTTAACACGTGTAACACACTGACACTCTCTTGCTACCAGTTAAGCTACGACCACCGATTAGGGGGTCTTCACATACTTCACGGACATGGACAATATGCACCAATATTAGACATATGTTAAAAATGAGAGGGGAGATGATAATCCCAGAATAATCCCTATCTGATTCCCACGGGTGATTGATTTATAAATAACCTCATTTATCATAAATCTGCTAAAAATAGTTTCATGTTTCATTTTTTCCTTTTCTCCCTAAAATTATTCTTTCCTTATTTCATCTATGGACTCTTTTTTTTATTCATTTTCCAGTTTTCATTTTCATATTTATTATTCTATTTCTCACTCTATTAGAAGAGCTTTTTTTGTCAAACTTTTTCCCCAAATGCAAATTTTGTCATTTTCTTTTTCTTCTCGTATTTTTTTATTTCCCTTTTTATGTTTCTCTTCTTAGTCATTCTCCTTTTATTAAAGATATTTTTCTCACTCACTTTTTTTTATATTTCATTTCTTGTTACTTTTTAAATTGTTTTTCTTCTATCTTCTTGTCTTTCTTCTTATTATCTTAATTCCACCATCAATATATTTTTTCTCCTTTCTTCATTATCGTATTTTTTTAGTAAATCAACCCATTAATTTCATCAATTGTGGGGAAAACTCTATGTGATCAAAAGATTAGAGAAAAGTAAAATTCCAAGAAAAATAAAACATTAGGGGAAATATAATAAATATAAAAATCGGGAAAATGTAATTTTTCATTTCTAACATTTTCAAGAATGTTTTATCTTTATTTCAATTTTTTCCGTAATCTTTTTGTCACATAGAGTTCTTCCCATAGTTGAAGAAATTAATAAGTGGACTTACTTAGAAAAATACGATAATGTAGAAAGGAGAAAAAATATATTGGTGGTGGAATTAAGATAGCAGCAAGAAAGAAGAAAATACATAAAAAAGTAACAAAAAGAAAAAAGGGGATAAGTGAAAATGAAAAGAAAATATAATAAAAAAGTAAAGTGGGAAAAAGATCTTTAATAATAAGAGAATGATTAAGAAGAGGAGCACATAAAAGAGAAATGAAATAAAAATACATAAAGAAAAAGAAAATGACAAAAAAAAACTATAGCTATTTGGGAAGGAAATTTTACAAAAAAAAACACACTCCTGATAAAGTGAGAAATAAAATAATAAATGTGTAAAAGAAATAAGAACAAAGCGATGGAAAAAGGAATAAAAAACTATCTAGGGATAAAAATAAGGAAAGAAAAGTTTTAAGGAGAAAAAGAAAAAATGAAACATGAGACAATTTTGTAAAACTTCCTTCTCAAATAGATTATTTTATTTCTCACTCTATTATGAGATTTTTTGTAAAGTTTCCTTCCCAAACGGAAAAATGGATAAAAAAGTGTCTATGAATAATATAATGAAAGAAAAAATTTAGGAAGAGAAAAGAAAAAATGAAACATGAGACTGTTTTGAGCAGATTTGTGAAAGATGGGATTATTTATGTAAGTTTTCAAAAAAAAATGCAAAAAAACTTGTATAGTAAGTCACCGATCGGTTTGGGTCTAATGAAAGAAGATGGAGTACAAATGAGAGATTGTTCTGGGACAGGCCCGTTGTGCCTTTGAGGCCGGTGAGACCTCTGCCTCAGGCCCCGAGAAAAACTAAGGCCCCATTTTAGTAGTCACTTTGTATTATTATTAGTAGGGTCAATTTGTTTTTTAAAATATCTCAAATTATTATAAAGAATTTGGAAAGTCAATCCTTAACACCCAAATAAAATAACAAGTCAATGTGTACAATCAAAGTCCATACTCCGATACATGGGATACCACAAAATCACAAATCACATGTTCAAAAGTCTACATTTTGAACCCAAACAATGTTAGGAACAAAAACAAACTCATAAACTACCTCAACAAAATATTAGGCAACCCTAATTTAACATCCAAAGAGATCCCGGAAAGGAGTAGTGAACTTTGAGTCAATGCAAACCTCCCCTTTTTTCTTAGTAACTCCCGGTAAACCTTCAAAACATTTGGCGGTGAAAGTTAGGCCTTTGTTATTCAAATCATCCGTAAGCCGAAGAGAAGTATCAACTCTAATCACACTAGCATGCACAAATCTAAACGGTTTAACAACCAACCCGAGCATCTTACCGTTTATCACCTCACATTTGATGACAACATCATATTGATGCAAGTCATTCTCATCCGTTACTATTCTCTCAATGTCTTCCAAAATGACCTCGGAGTCCTCAATCAAGCTATCTTCCTTACTAATTTTTTATTTGTTTAAAGAAGTCATCTTTCTGTCAACCTTGGAACGCCCCCGGATAGTGGCAGCAACTTCCGGACGTTTTCCAGACCCCTAAGCAGTCTTGTCTTGAGACCCGGTCGGGTTAGAGCCGACCCGGTCGAGTTTGACACCTAGGCAGAAGGTTTTGCCTGAAACCCGGTCGGGTTAGGAGTCGGCCCGGTCGGGTTTGACGCCTAGGCAGTAAGTTTTGCCTGAGTCGCGGTCGAGTTAGGAGTCGATCCGGTCGGGTTTGACGTCTGGGCAGTAGGTTCTCACCGAATGATAACAGACCCTATTTTTTACCCCCATTCCCAGAATTAGGGGGTAGGTCTGCCAAAGGTTCCCTGGCAGTGGGTACCGGATTTCCTCCTGGGACAGAAGCTTTTTTTTCTCCCAGTCCAGCAGTAGGGGTTGCCATCACAGTTTTCCGGCCTGCAGTTTCTCACCATTAGTAGTTGTTGGAAAATGTGTTAATAAATTGCATTATATGATCATTTTGGGGCAATTATTTGAGTGGGGTCCATTTCCGATTTGGGTCGGGTCAAAGTGGTTTCGGATTGTCCTTGTTAAGGGCTACAATTCGATATATGGTACCCTCAAAACGGATAACAGGTGAATGAGAAATTGATTCTCGAAGTTCACTCGTTGAAATGGAAAAACTGGGAAAATGATGGGTTTCTAGTGTGTTTTATACCACACCGGAAAACTCAAGGGATTTTCACCCCCTTATAAAGGGAAGCCTCTTTTAAGGAGTTAAGATTCCTAAAGGTAAAGGCTCTCTCGCGCAAGGGGGGTGCCGATCAAATCCCGAAAATGAAGAAGAAAAACCGCGACTCGTGTGCGCGGGCGACCTGCGGACGCGAATGTCGTCCTAAAATCTATCATTCAAAGATACGATTTATTTTTGCTTCTTACCGTAACGGGTTCCAGTTTTCCAGAAATGCAACAAAGGCCTAGGGGTTCTGTTGTGCGCAACAGAATAGGACCAGAAGGCCACATGGGTCTCTGTTGGGTTCGGACCAGAGAGCGAGGGTCTCTGCTGGCTTCGGACAGAACTGCTCTGGACCAGAGAGCGAGGGTGTCTGTTGGCTCCGGGCCAGAGAAGCTATGGGGGTGTTCTGGTCGCGCAAGTCTGCCGTTACGGAAGTTAATGCCCAACGTTCTTATCTTTTAATGTTGCGTTAAATGGACAGTTTATGGACGGTTCAATGCCCAACGGACTAGTCATTGATGTCCAACGTTCAGATCCATTAACACTCTATTTAACACACAACAAGTCCTGAAATCTAATGGAACAGACCTTATAGTTGTGATATAGTAAGGCTCTTGTATCTCAAAGAAAGTGAGTTATTAAGCAGTAGGATAAGCAGTAGGGTCAAATTAAGACTACTGCTTAGGATGCTGCTGGCAAACTACAATCTTTTGTGAGAAGTGTTCAGTGTGTGCTTTGTTGACTGAAAGTAAATCAACACATAGTATATCCTGGTTCAGAGGTGGTGTAATCTTCCTACATCCAGTCCCATCATATTTCAAATGGATTTCACTAATGTATTAAGCCCAATACACTTAGTGCCAATCTAGCATTGTCAATTCTGGCCTAGATTGAAGGTGTTTCACGAGGAGTACAACACCACTCCAAGCTACTCAATCCTTTAGGTTTTTCTCAATTGATCCAGTGGGAATCAAAAGGTACTCCTGACCTATCTAACCACACTGAGACCGAGAACAACTGTCCTCCTGAAGTGTTTACAACAATATCTGATGGGTTTACAAGAAAGTTCTAACCTCCAACTAGGAACTAAACTTCTAGGATTTTAGCAATGAACACTTGATACTAAGAAGTTTAGTGAAGCAAGAGTCTAAGCAGAGAGTCGTGGATAGAATAGCACTTTTTCTTTTGCTAGATATTTCGTGAATGCTCCATAGAAGTATATCTCTACTTAGGATGCTCAAGCTTAGTTAGAAACTTTCGTTTCAGCCTATATTTATAGGCTTCTCCAGTTGTTTAATCTCATTTGTTGGTTAGGATAGATTAATCATATTCGTTGATGGTTGACACGGACGATTTGTACATTCGTCTTCTTGTGCTGGAGCTATTGATGCGGCTGTCTTCAATAATCTTTTAGCCGCTGGAATATCTCTTCAAGATAATCTCATGTGTGTGTCTTCAATGCTAAGGACCCCAGTACAAATTTAGCATTCAATGCTAGTCAATTTTGTCTTCAATCATATACATTCAATGTATATGTTTTTTGAGCTTTTTCGTCAAAACATGTGACATTTAATTAATATTTGAGCTAAATAATATATGCCGGTAGGATCTAAATATCCTATTAAGGTAAATAAAAATTACCTTATTGCATTTTTACTTTTCCGGTAATATTTCTTTAGTCTCAAAAATTGTACATTTATTTTTGTCACTCAGATTTAAATGCTATTTTTTAGGATACAATGTACACGTGCAAAGTATAGTGGCATCATCAAAATCTATCAAAATTGGGTACTAACAAAGAGGATAACCGGAAGAACGATGGGAAACTCCCAATCGTTAACGGCGCCAAGGCCAACGTGGTGGAGCATGCAAAGGCTCCAAAAA